GTTGTGGAGTCTCCTTCTCTGGAGATATTCAAGACCCACCCGGATGAGGTTCTGCGCAGCCTGCTGTAGGTGACCCTGCTTTGGCGGTGGGCTGGACTAGATGACCCACAGAGGTCCTTTCCAACCCCTGCCACACTGGGATTCTGTGATATTCAGTTAAAAAAACTTTTAACCTAGGATGAAAATGGTTACCAGGAAGCTACTACAACAACCCAATAACATTCATGCAGGCAAGATACATGGGCCAAGTGCCCAGGAATGAGACACATGCGCGGTTTTGACCCCCAGAAGTTAGCGGTGTGTAACCACCCACCACACCAGACAAGTCCAGAGAGGACAGGGGCAGAGACAGCGTTGTAATCGTGGCAAACGCCAGCGCCCACGACGCTGGGAAACAGCCCCGAAGCCACAGCTGCATACGGGTATGCGCCTGCACCACAGACAACTCAACCTTGCCTGCTACTCTTACGTCCTCACGTCTGTCCTGCAGATCAGTCCTCAGCAGGTCACCGAGGCTCTGCTTTAGCTGCAGCACTGTACACAGCCCTCAGTTGTGCCAGCCTTGCTGCCTTTTTCCAAGTCTCAAGGCCTCCACCACCCTCTTCCACTGGAACTGCCTTTCTGTCTCTCGCTTCACCCTCTGTCCCCAGCGGGATTCCAGTTTCACCCACTCCAGACATCTCCCATCCAGTTTTTAAGAGCAGCCCCACTAAGATTTAGCTATGGCATCAGAGAGATCAACAGGACCGCACAACTGTTGTTACTCCACAAGTTCACGCTCCCCCAGGTTAAGTCTACACCAGATCAGTCAATTTTGGACCACCATAAACTAGATAAATCAGGTTGGGCATCTGCGCACCTTGTTCACACAGAAAGCAGGCTCGGGACCTAGAAAGCTCACGTAACCAACCCAGCCTTCTGCCCTTCTGGGATGGGAACACAACGCCCAACATACAATCACAAGAAGTAATTAAAACTTGTACCGTGCTTGCACTCTCTCCTCTGCTCACAGAGCCGCAGCAGTCTGCACACATGCGTTCACCTCGGGCGACTGCGCGAAGACGAACCTCAAACGGACCTGGGCTAAAGAGGCCTCCTAAATCCACTCTAAATCACTCTTCAGAGATTGAAAAAGGAAAATAATTTCACATAACACACAGAGAAATAAATGACCCACATCAAACAAAAAAAAAAGAAATCAATCACCACCTTCAAATCTTCAGTCAAAGCAACTCATTGCAACCTCTATAACTAAATCCAGGGAAGCTTTTGCCACGCCATTCTGGACTTATTTCCGTAATACATGCTCACATTCATCATTCCCGTCTGTCCCAAATCTATAGATCTTGGCATTTCTGAACCAAGGTAAATTTATTCTCTCTATAGGCTGTTTATTTTATATTAATGCTCAGCAAAAATGCAATCCACAAACCTGTTTCACGCTATTGCCCCATTTTATCACTAAGAAATGAACTGAAGGCTGGGGGCACTGTTATGGAATCAGAGACACAGTGCATTGAAAATGAATATCATATTGTTCGTATCCCCAATGATCAAGTCATATTCACCCACAGAGTCTACAGATAAGTTCACTGTATTAATAATACAGGGTTATATATAGAAAACACACTGACTTTATGCCTGAAGGGCCTTTTTAAAAGGCTTCTTTTTAATGCAAAATACATTTTCTCAGTTATGTGGTAAGAGATTGGACTTGAAGAGACATGTCTGCAGTGCTACAGGGTGTAAAATAATTGCCTGGCAACTATGTTCCCAAAGTAAAACAAAAGCAAA